GTTTGGAGGGAATAAAAGGGTATTTTCTGCGAACGCTTAAAAGAAATTATTTATTAGATTTATTTGTTTTTTTTTTTCAATTAATCGTTAATAGACAAATGGAGTATTAGGAAATAGGTCAAGACTGACTAGTCATGACTTTCCCCGTACTTTTTGTTCGACCTTGATCATTGTGTGTTCCCTTTATCCTAATTTACGCAAGCTGCATTGCTGTCAATGTTTGCTCCGATAGTGCCAATCCCACATCTTAATTGTTATCACGGGGACCTCGACGTCGCTTTAGATAATTTTAACACCACCGCAATACGATTGCTGTTTATTTTGTAATTTCTAACCAAATATTTGCAAACGTTTCATCAAACAATGTCTGCTGTTGGTTAGAGCCTCTGGCAGCGTTACCCGTAGGGCTTAGGTTCGAATCCTGACAGCGGCGAAAACTTTTCCTCAATTAACCTACAAAAAAAAAATGCACATTTAAGTTTTATCTTGAGGGCAGAGGTTCGATTTCCACACGGGACAACTATTTGTGTGACCCACAGTTTTTTCGCAACTGGGTGTTTGTCCTTACAGCCTCCTTACAGCACAGGATAATGCTTTCCTAAAGTAAGGACAAATATTTTAAAAAAACTTAATTGTATACGGATGTTTCTCTATGTTTAATTTATTTATTGGAAGTGTAAGATCAATGTAAAAAAATGTAGAGCTTAATTTTTATGTACACTCGCATGTTTCAATGACGAATCAAATCAACAAAGGGACACAATTTAGAGCAGTAACAACAAATTTAACTTTGAAGAGAAGATACTGTGCGTAATGCAAGCCCAAACAATACCTCATCCCCACACATTACCTAATCATGTGCCAGTACAAACTCCTTATTAGAGAGTACACAAATTTATCAGGGCGATAACGGGCGACGCGAGAGATCTTGTGGTTTGTGATAACGCTGATAACTTATAGTATGGTGTTTAGCCTACAAAGTTTTGTTCTCGGGAAGATATGCGTTCCGCGATTCATTTCTACCCCGTTGTTTATATTTTCATAAAGTCGCCGTTAATTGCTATATTTTAATTAGCCTACAGGTCTGCTAGTATATTTATAATTATTAATATATACATGTAATTGATTCAATAAATACACAATACACTTCAAACTATGTACTCTGAAAGTATATATAACAGTATTTAAATATAATATATAACACACTTTTTGTCCGACTGCGCGAAGCCTAAAAGGAGGGTTATGTTTCCTCATAAATAGTAAACGGCTGAATCGATTTTAATAAATGATATATATTTAGATTCGTTGTTATTCATAACTGTATTTTAATAAAAGTGGCGGAGTTTTTGTAACAGAATGTTACATCAAATTTTTTTCGTACCACTGTCAATTTTTTTTATTATATATAATCATTATTATTAAAATTAACTGCCACTCAGTCATCGCGTAATTCATAACAGAATTATAAATTTCCCTTTTGATTACGCCAAAACATTTTTAATAAAAATTTTAAGTTTAAATCCTTTCATTACACGTGTCCGAAGATAAAATTATTTAGAAGACATGTTTCCTAGCTTATTTTTTACTTCAATTTAAAAGATGGCAATAATTGATTTATTATTTGAACTCTTTAAAAAATGGCGTAAACCCACGATTTAAAAACCAAACTTTAAGGCCCTGCCTTCTATGTCAGTTTGTCAGCCATTTTATATTTTAAACCATGAGGACATCGATCTCATAGTGTATTCTTAAAAAACAATAACATTTTACAGTTAATTTTGTGCTGCTGGGGTTAATTTTGTGGTGACTGCCACGAGACACGATCCTGAGCCACCAGCATCCATAAAAGGAATAGAAAATTAAAATAAATTTCAATAGCGAAAGTTGACAAAGAACATATGTATTTAAAAAGGCTCTAATTATTCTTTAAAAAGTTCATCACAAAAGACATAAGCAGACAGAAATTTCGATAACGCATGTTTGAGTTAGGGTAACAATGAAATAAGCGATGCGGCCGGCCCAAGAGTAGAGCAAGAACTGCGGTCGCTCTAGGCGCCAGATATCAATGGGCGCTAAAAATCAAGTGTGAAAATATTTACAGAATAAAATTTTGATGGCTTCTTACGAAAGTTTAGCCTATTTTAGTACACAAGGAAACATATTTTATTATTTAATGACTGAATGTAAAAAACAAGTAATAATAATTTAATTATATTAACGCCAATTTGGGTAAGTTTGAACATTTTTTACAGAATTTGTGCTATTACAATCTGATTTATTACACCTTTATTGAATGAATATTGTCCTTTTGTTTATTTTGCCGACACAATAAATTTCGAAAAAACAATAGAACTATCAACAATTTCCCCCCAAACTCAAATTCAAAGTTATCGTGAGTAGGGTAACTTTGAATATAATTTTTTTAAAGATGTAAAAACCATCATTATTCGTATATTGAAACCTTAAGTTTGGGTAAAATTATATGACGTATTTTCATTAAATAAAACCTTATATCTAAAAATTACACCTAAATTAACGTTTAAATGTGATATTGCATTTAAAGTTTATTTTTTTTACTTTTCATTATTTCAAAACATTTTGCCGATCGTTTCACGCATTTACGCTACTGAAATAAAAATAGTTTTCGTGTAATAAATAAATACCTCTTTTTCACAACATTGTTCAAAGTTAAACCGCAATTCAAAGTTCCCAAAACGACTGTACCGAGAAGAAGCAGGAGAATGATAATTAGAGATTTTTTGTTTGAATTTTCATAGGTCTATATAACGCATATGATATTAGGTCTTTATGAGAATTTTTGAGAGATTAAACAGGGATTTTTTATTAGAAATTATGTATAAAATTTTTTAATGTTTAATTAGTCGTCCTTGTTGAATTTTTCCTAATTGAGAAATTTATATTTATTTATTATGAAAACATTATTTATTAATTTAAAAATATCTTTGTAGTTCTTATGTCTGACTAACATAAGATTAAAACATTAATAGTTATAGAAAAAATGGATGGAACGTTTTTCGCCCCTGCGAAAATCGAACCAATGTTAAACGTCTGTTTTTTGCAGCGACGAAAAACTTCTCGTCTCTTTTTAATACAAATTTTAATATTATTTATAATTAAAATTAATAATTAAAAATGTTATTTATAAAATAAATTATGCAATCTTAAAGTTACGTACAATACAGAGATTAGGTGCTCAGGTGGTAAACTTGAAATTTTGTAAATGAAACAGGTTTTATGGATATATCGAGTTTATTTTTAATTTTACTTCCCGACGATTCGAACCTTTTTTAGTGTTCATGGCTACATAGACTGGAGCGTTGGACGTTTGCATTTCATTTTTAGCTTGGGCATCCGCCAGTTTTTAAGTAATTAATTTTGTCTGACCTAGGCAGAAGATGATAATTGTATCTTGTCGTGCAGTGGTTCTTTTAGGACTTTTAGACCTCACAGAAAACCGGCGTAAAGTGGAAGTGTTACATTTCTGTGTTTCGTCTGGTGAGCGAGGTAGCCGGGGCCTACTTTATATAAAGGTGGCAACGCATTGGCAAACCCTACGGGTGTCGCAAATGTTCGTGGGCGGCGGTTATCACTTAACATCAGGTGAACCGCTCGTTTGCCACTCGTAAAAAACCCCTTTAAAATTTAAGGAAATTTTTACAACACAACCAGAGAAAAAAATAATGAAAAATTGAGTGTATCTTACATTACTTTAACTGATGTTTTGAAAGATTAAATTATGAATAAAATAGTGTAAGTATATAGATGTGAAACGTGCTGCGAAAGATGTGCTGGAACCACATTTGGCGGAAATCTCTGTCAGCCCTCTGGGTGACATGCGTGACTTAAGATATATTTAAATAACTTCGCACATAAAGTAAAAGTTAATTAACCAAAGCTAAGATCGGCTAATCTCGTGGATTTTATAATATTTAATTCGGTTTAAAAATCATAGTTTAATTGAATTGAATTATAAAGCTTGCCTCTTTTTATAGATGGCGCTAAAACGAGTTGTTTGAGTTAGTCTATTGATTACAAACTTATTATTGCAATGTAAAAATTATCTTACATTTATAATCCTATTATAATTGAAACCGAAAATAATTTCGTTTATGCTGAAAATTAATAATCAAAATAAATGGAATCACTTCATTTACTTCATTGGCATACGATCAAATTGGCTGATTCGGTGTCGAAGTACCTAAGTGATTCATGCTGTTATCACTTAATAATTTCTGTCTTCTATAGCAGTAAATTCCAACCAAGTAAATTGAACAAGAACTATAGAGTTTTTATTTACTTATATTATATTTATACGTATTAACTCAAACTTTCACTAAGTCTAGAACGTTAGTTTTGATTCAATGTATATTTGAAAAAAAATTGTATATTGATAAATTATAAATATCTATAACCAAGTAGGTGTACATTAAAAACTGGCCAAGAGCGAGTCGGACGCACGCACAAAGGGTTCCGTACCATTATCTTTAAAAGCGGTACAAAAATCATGTCTGTTGTATGGGTATGGGAGCCCTCCTTAAATATTTTTTTATTCAGTTTTTTAGCTTTTTATTTGTTGTTATAATGGCAAAAACTGTCAAAAATTTCAACTGTAATAGTATCCCACTTTACCCTTTGGGTAGAGAACCTTTGGGTAGATAAACGAACAAAAACTTTTGGCGCTGTGGGATTCGAACTTGCATCTTCCTTTTTTTTTTGTTAACTTGGGGGAAATGTCTACACATACCCGCCCTCGCGGACGCAAGGAACGATTATGTAGGACTCGTACCGATGCATGCATGAGAACTCCCACGATTTTACAACTATAGTGCATGTGGGCACGGGAACGATTACGCACACTTCCGCGTCCCTGCTAGCGTTGGCCGCCTCAGCAGTATCTTCTCGCGAAGCAATTCCCCTATGCAACTCACATACTTGGCCCCATTTTCACCTCCAACAAACTCCGTTCGCTGACCAGGGCCATGGGAACCAGGAGTGCTAGTGCTTATAAGCAACATGCCTTCCAGGCCCCAGCGGCGGACCCGGTCTGTGGCTCCACCGATCACCGCGTTTCGTTCGCGGAGGGTAGGGAGAACGGCATATCGCAGTACCGATACTCCTCTTCCCCCGCGGCCCCAGTACTAATACATCATCGGCTGCTCCTCTACCACCCTCGAACTTTCCTCCGCAGCCGCTCAGTGCGCATTCGGAGTGGGTTAAATGAGTCCATTCGGAGTGGGGCTCTCAGGCTGGCCTTACATCACAGGCCTCGTGGGTGAGGTCTATCTTTGTAAGATTATAAACTATTCCTTAATAATTTCTCAAGGAAGACGCTTCGTCTTTGTTTTCACCATTATTAATTATTTCTTTTGAGTTTTTCAAATTCCAAAAAAAAATTTCAATTTAAGCTGTAGGAAAAAGTCATCACATTATCAAAAAGTATCGGTAGTAGGGGACTAGATTAATAATCATTTAGATAATAACAATTACTTCGATACGATGATAACAATAGAATACATTCATTAGCGTTGAAATGAATGTGCAGTTATGTGATTAAAATGAGTTTCGTAAAATTTTTGTTTGTTTGTTTATTGTTTTGCTTTTATAGAGTTAATGGTACGAGTATTTTATGCGAAAGAGAATTCTGTAGGGTGAGTAAATACGAGTACTTTATATAATTCGAATGACAAATAAAACAATATAGCTATTGTTATCTATGATACATATTCTAAACATGTGACAATGAAAAAGCAATGATAATTTCTTGTATTTACGCGAACTTAACAAAAGTATGAGTGTGTGTTTTTAGTTTTATTTCCCGACATTTCTAATCCCCTCAACGTTCATAGTCACGGGTCAGACTGAGGATTTAGAAGAACTTAGTCTGACCCTGAGGTGTTGGACGTCTGAGTGTCATTGTTAGTCCGAGCTACTGCCAATTTTTAAATCAATCATTTTTGTGTCCATCTACGCAGAGCATGCTCATTTTATCTTGTCTTGCAGTAGTGATTCGTTTCGGTCTAGGCTTAATATTTCATTAATAGGATCCCAGCTTGATGGCAGCCAACACTCTTCTCATTGAAATTAGGGTATTTTTTTATTTCAATAGGCTCACGACTCACCCTTAGGAGGAATTTTCTCACTTGTTAGAGCCAAGTTTGATAGACCACAGATCAGGATCTGTGGTCTATCAAACTTGGCTGCAGACTTGTTTTATCGGTTACGTTTTAAGTTAGCTATAAGTTCCTTTTTTGTTGGTCTGTTTTTATTTGCTATGGTGTTTGACGTTTGAAAGAGAGACTACATTTACAGCGAGGCTTGTACACTCCTGAATCTTGTAGAGACATGTTGCACTTGAAAGATGGTGAAAACTGACTAATCATCCTAGGCGGCTTGTAACATGTATCATAATCGAATCTGACTTCAAAATGTAGCCAATCTTATCGATGACTCCTCTGACATATAGTAGAACAGAAGGTACTCGTTCCACTGTGGCTGGTTTCACTATGAAGATGGGCAGATGCCCATCTTCATAGTTCATGCCAAAATTTATATGTTAATTATTTTATTACATTCATATGAAATTTATATATCCTAATCCATAACCATCTGTGGGTCCTTCGATCGTTAAAGTAAGTTATCATTGCAGACATTCAGACATAAGCCAGGCTGCTCGGCACCGGCGATAGAGTGTAGCATAAATAACGCTACGCATAATGGAATTTGGTTGCCATCGCCCACCACGTGCAACTGTTGCGACTACTGCTTACCATTGTTCGGTAACATATTCTTTTGTATAAATGTTATAGATGACACAACCATTCAAGACAACTGTTTAACTTTTAAGTTTATTATTGTTAGAATTTACATTTTTATAAGCAAGGTATGAAATGGTATTTCAAAAAGTAATTGTCCCTTTGTTCAAATTCACACTAATTTCGAAATTGTAGAAAAAGGACTGTTTAATTGAAAACTTTTTAAGAGTAAAGGAGATTCTAATCAGGAGAAATACAAATTGTCACGAATCATACTGCCATGTCGTATTATTTCACACTAATAACTTTCGCATAAATAAAACTATTTATTTTTTATTCTATACAACGGCCACCTACGGTGGTGGGGCTATGCAGCAGCCTCGGCTGTTGCACGAATGGGCAGGCTCGTCCGGGTAAGTACCACGACCTCACACAAGACCGGCGTAAAGTGGAAGTGTAATACTTTCGCGTTTCGTCTGGTGAGTGAGGTGGCCGGAACCCAATTTTCAAAAGGTTGTCAACACATCTGAGACCCTTGGGTGTAAGGAATGTCCATGGGCGGCGGTATTCACTTAACACCAGGTGAACCGTCTGCTCGTTTAGCAACTTCTCACATTAAAAAAAAACTAAACATTGTTTTAATACAGTCATTTTGAATATATCAGATTTTTCAATAAATCTTTCTTAACAACTTCAGGGCAAGGTGCTCATTGCTCCACTGGTGGTCCAGGCACAGGAATAACCGTTGGCAGATGTGGCCACGGATTAACTTGTGACCCAGAACAGCTGACGTGTGTGCGGAGTAAGTAAAAGTAAACTTTAAAAGTAAAAATTTCTATACAAAAATTGTATCACTTAACATCAAAAATGAAAACAATCCTTTCGCTTTTTCCTGAAACATCTTATCTGCACATTTTTCCTTAAAACTTTAGAATCATCTCCATAGTTTAGATAATTAAATAGGTACCCATTAAATACAAATAAAGATGTTATGTCTTTTTAGGGTTCCGTACCCCAAGGGTAAAACGAGACCCTTTTACTAAGACTCCATTGTCAGTCTGTCGGTCTGTCTGTCAAAACAGAATAAACAATATTTAAGTGGGGCTCTCATACAACACACATAATATTTTTTGCCGTTTTTATAGACAGTACAGAACCCTTCGTGGGCGAGTTTTTTTAACTCTAGTTTTATTAGTCTCGGCAACAACAGTTGACTTCCCTATGGAAAATCTAGGAAAGTTAATATGTCGAGTGAAATTAATGTCTCTTAAATAATTTTCAGTGAAAACCGAATGTCACGATGCACAAGATGATTATGATGCAAGACACCTTAGGGGAGAAACGGGCGCTATGGAACAGCGCCCTCTCTGTGACGGGAAGGGGAAGTACGCGGCATTTGAATGTGTGCCAGCCCAAACGTGAGATTATTTAAATTTTTAAATCTTGTATATAAAATTCTCTTGTCACAATGTTAGTTACCTTACTCCTCCGAAACGGCTTTACTGATTTTCACCAAATTTTATATGCATATAAAATCCCTAAGTGATAAGGGTGGTCCACCCCAAACATTTTTTAATTTATGTGGCAAAACAACGTTTGGGTCAGCTAGTTATTATCTATGATTTAATTGCCCTTATCTCTATTAGATTAGATTGATCTCAAGAGGCATTTTGCATCACTTTGTACGATACAAAGTCGTTTTACAAATGACTTTCAAGCTTACATTTTAAAAAAATTTCTTGAAATTTAAATAGTAAAAGGAAAATAATCCTCTCGTAGTGTTCTACTTCTGAGCAAAGGCCTTCTTTATACAGAGGGCACTATGGCATAGGCCGCCACGCGACTCTACTGTGGATTGACCCACTTCACATTTTCAAAACGTACGTGTTTTCTTTTGACAAGTTTATTAGTGCCTCCCACACGATTTAAACTCAAGGAAGTATGCTGAATTCAAAGCTACAGCACTTGGCACTTGGCTACCGTGGCTCCGTGTCATGGTGTTTTCAATTAAAATTATACTAGTTCAAATACACTAGTCATGACTGTAGTGAAAAATGGACGTATCTTATCTCGGTTAGCCGGCAATTTTATGTTTCATGTGGATCAATTGGTACACTATGCGATTGCAAAAGATACTTAAATAGACCGAGTCTCTTACATATTTGTTTTAGTATTGTTCATTGATGAAATTGTATACGAAGATTTTCTTAGACCGTTTGATCAATGAAGTTTTAAGTAGGAACCAGAGCAAGGCAACAAAGTTACAACAGAGATGAGTACGGTGAATATAAAATTGAAAAATAAATTTTTCAGGTGTTTTTGCCAATCAGAAGACGGCGAAAGGATATTCGGTGAAAGTCTAAACATGGGTGCGACGACAATGCAGAATATGCATTGCGGTAAGTATTTAAATCGCTAACCTATGATAAAAAATATACATATTTTTTATTTATATCTTATGTCAAAAAAAAATTAGACCTAGAATCACTAAGTTTGACAAAAATCAAAGTAAAAACAATAAAAAAGTCAAAAATTAAGGTAAATTTTGGTACATACAAATTTGTTCGCGAAAATCTAAATTTTCTCATATCTTTTTGTCGTGTTGACTCAAAACCTTGATTTTAACATTAATTATATACACCTAATACGGACTATATATCTCAATATCAGGTATAAATTTTAACTTTTTAGGTCTAAAATCGGTGGAGATTGTTTAGCAATTTTGTTAAGGTGGTATAATGGGTAGTTACGGAACCCTCTGCGTATAGTTACGGAACCTGATGTTTAATGAATATCACCACCCATGGAGTTGCAGCTTGCAGATGCGTTGACAACCTTTAAAAATGGGCCCCAGCTACCTCACTCACCAGGCGAAACGCGAGAGTTAATACTCCCACTTCGCACCGGTATCCTGTGAGGTCGTAGTACTTCCCCGAACGATCCTGGCCATTCGTGCAAAAACAGAAACTGTTACGTGGCCCCTTTCACAATATAGATAGCTACATAGATAATACGGCAATAACTATGAAGCTTGATTGACCAACGTTCGCTATCCAGCCATTATTAGATTTTTTGCTCACAGCTTGTTCGCGCTTCAATCATAAAATAAAAGAATCCCTATCATCGGGAGTACGCTTTCCTGTAATCGGGCCAAGATGCACCTCAGATGGCAATTTCCATCCAGTACAATGCATCAACAGGATCTGTTATTGTGTGCACAGAGTGACTGGACTAATAAGAGGAGAAAAAACCGTGAACTTGGACACGGAACCGATTTCCGAACTACCTTGCTGTGAGTATATTTAAGGAGAGCTCTTATAGATGATGCAATGTCCTAAACAAACTTTAAATAAGTCGATGGATATCTACCCTTAGGATTCAAATCTTTTACTCATTAGGATTAGATCGCTTAGGATTAGACCTTTTACTCATTAATACTTACCAGAGTTTAAAAATTTGTCGTTGTTTATGTTTACACATGATTGCGTGTAGACATAAACCACAACAATCTATTAATCAAGTTCAAATTCATTTTGTGATATACTAAACAATAATCGTTCTCAGAAGTCGATTCAACTTTAATGTTTCATTTCATAGGACCGATATATTCATAAGAAAGTCACTTGTTGCAAAACAATACTGAACCAAGGCTACAATCTAATACCGTATTTTATGAGATCATCATGAGCCTTGTTATGGATTAATTAAAAGCACGGTCGATGTTAAATTGTTTAAATATTTTAATACTTTAAAATTTTAGACAATCCGGATTTGGACCTTTTCCCGAATCAGGTAGAAGGTGATCCTCCATTCAATTACACAACACCCTGCTATGAAAGTATGAGGGAGAAAATAGAACTCATTCTACAGGGAGAAGAAGATGGCTTTAATATCGATTTTTTTACATCAGTCTCTGACTGCATGCCAGATGGAACTTTTGGGAGAGTCATAACTCGAAATGGAACGTAAGTTTAATATTCTTTTATTTTCGTTACTGATCCCCTACATACTTTATAGCTTGTTATTCTTACCTTCTCTTACATATAAAATGGACTGTTTTCCTGCAAATCTTATGTCTTATTACGGTAGTTCCATAGAATTTTTTACTAGCTGGTGCCCGCGACTTCGTCTGCGCGGTATTAAAATTTCGAGTAGCCTATTTTCTTATCCAAGTCATCTATCTGTCCAAGGTATCTCCTATCAATCTTTATACCAATATTCATCAAAATTGTTTGAGCGGTTTAGTTGTGAAGGCGTAACAAAGAGATCGAGTTACTTTGAGAGACCTTTGTATCATTATAAATTATAGCTTATGTGTTTGTCTGTATATTAACTGCTAGCTGCTGCCCACTATGTCTGCGTAGAATAGGCTGAAGGCGTAACATTCAGACAGAAAGACATATATACATAAAAATTTGTATAAAAATTATAGCCTGTCTTATTCTGATGTATAAGCTATATTATTGTAAAGTTTCATTAAAATCCATTCAGTAGTTTTCATGTCGTCAAGGAGTAACAAATATTCATAAATCCATACATAATTACAAACTTTCACGTTTATAATATTACTAATATAATCTGTATATTTATAAGAGATTTCCACCGATAATTGACTCAGAACGACGTCTCTGACTATATGACGTAGAGACTTGATATTTGGTAGGAATTTTCCTTTCGCCAAGTAGAGGTGAGGAAAAAACGGATTTTACAAAATTCCACAAAACAACGTTTGCCGATGGCAACTACTTAATATCAGGTGGTTGCCATCGTATTGAGTGGCCAACTTTACCCTTGGTACACATACCTGTGACCTTACATACATGATTTGAATTCGGATTAGGATTTGGAAGAGGATTTCCACGTGGGCCTCTTAATACGCCAAGCCAATAGCGTCGTAGCTATCGAAGCATAACCGGTGTCATTACGAAAAAGTTCGAACCCACGTTTTTCTGCAATATTTTTTTTTGTTAATCACACTATTCATAATTTAAATTTATTTTCTACTTTTTAGTTCGGTTATCTACAAAGGTGTGTTTTTTAGTTTTTTTTTTATTATTATCTATTAGTTTTGTTCTCTTTTGTAGTTCTTATAAGTATAAAAGCGTGTTTTTATTTATTAATTTTTTTAAATGCATACTTAGCACGAAGACACTACCGGGTATCGCAGGTCACAATCAGGATAATGGGGAAAACTATTTAAATTATTGCATTGTCATGAGTCCTTGACGAGGGTCCAAAGTTTGATTCAATGATGATGTTGATCGTTCAAAGTGGGGTGAAATCAGGTTTAAAGATTCCTTTACATTCATACATACCTACAGATGAATCTAAGATAAGCGTGTTAAAAAGATGTGATAAATGGACCAACAAAAGAAAAATTTTTGCCACTAACAATTTTAAACACGTTTCATTCACAGTAAAATATGCATAGACGATAGAGCACAACGCATCGGAGATTATGAAGCTGAACCTGGCAGCGAGAGTTTCAAAAGCATGGATTGTAGTAAGTTATTACTGTTACTGTTTACACAAGTTTTTGGATATGATGTATCTTATGGATAACTAATTGGGGACCACTATTTCCAGAATGTGCTAAAACGTCCTTTCTCATGGCGACATCTAAAGAAAAACCTATATGTTGTAAGAATGGCAACTTCAGAAAAATACAGTGTCATCGTGGTCAGTGCCGCTGCGTCGACTCCGATGGACGACAAATAAGTAGGGAGTCGTCTGATGTCAGAACTCTGTCTTGTTATACAGAGGATTGGAAGCAATGTTAATATTTATTTTAGTACGAAATATATTGTACAATGAGATAAATAATTATTCTTTAACTTATTTTGCCTCTGTATGGATAAACACTCTGATGGTTAATGTCCCCATAAAAAATTGTAAAATGCTTAGAGATTTTATAAGCCACTAGCGCACATAGGGATAGACAGACAACGGGACAACTTTGTTTCATACTATGTAGTGATTCCAAAATGTATTGTACGTATGTCAGCGTAAAAACCCAGGTGTTGCGCTATCATAAGTCTGTGATAAGAAATTTACTTGATACATTAAATTATTAACTAAATATTCTCTTTTATCGCTTCAGTTTTAAGCGCTAGATTTTCGCGCCTTGAGGCCATCGGCCGCTTAGCTTTGTTGGAGAAAACTCAGGTTCGATTCCGCAGCGCCGAATGTTTTTGTTCATTTATCTACAAACATTTACAATTTAAACTTTCATCTTGAGTGCAGACACTAGATGGTAATAGCCAAGCATTGTTAAAAATGTAATAAGAAGAACGTAGATAGATGTCGAGATCTTCACGCCGTGAGGCCATCGACCACTTAGCTTAGATGGTAAAGCGTCTGGGCACGATACCAAAGGAAGCAGGTTCGAATCCCACAGCGCCGAAAGTTTTTGTTCTATAAAAATTTACAATTTAATATTTTCTTTCCATTTAATTTGGTTTCTGAATGACCATAACATATGAAAAAAACTATTACATTGCATGAAGCGCAAGAGAGCAAGTAAAAGTTTTTAGCCGATAAACGCTTCGGAGCAATAGAGCTTTTCACAGAAATTATTTTTGTTGTAATAAAAGTATCTACAAGACTTTATTAGGTTTCTCATTCAACTGCAGTGTTAAAAAAAATCGAAAAATTAAATTTGCTGCATTCGTCTTCTATTTTAGTTGACTAGAATAAAAAAATATGTCTTTTTGAGCAGTATAAGAAGTGAAGACCACATAATTCGTTTTATTGCGCCTTTCATTCATTTTTAAGGCTATTACGGGTAAAAATAGCATAAATGTGAAATATGTTTAAAAATTTTATGATTTAAAAATATGTATTACATAGAATCGACGAAAATATTCAATATTTATAATATAACCTAATATTAACGGCCCAAACGTCTTCTGTGTTTCCACTTGTGATGTTGGTTTAAACTTTATTTTTCGGAATTAACTTCAAAATATCTCGATAAATACATAGTTAATGTTTATCAATACAGGCGACAACTGCCTTGGAACCAGCTTTTTGTGTAAATTAAGAGGAAGCGCCATCGCTCTAGTTAGGGGCCGTGAGGATTTTTTTTAGCATTTTTTGATGATACGTGGTGAGTTTTAAGACCAACTACCAAATATTACGTGTTCCTTTTTAGTATATACAATTATTATTTTCTTCAATTTCCATAGTATTTTCGATAAACTCCGATGAATCTAGAGGCGCTAGATGTCTGTTAGATACCGTCTCTTCCCTTCCATCAGGTAAACGGATATATGAAAAGTCAGGATTTGATTGTAATAGCTCTACCTCCTCGACTACAGGTGAATATTTTGAAGCACGATTATGCTTTTTCATAAACACTGGCCCTGGCACCATCAACCACGATGGTAATGTTGCACCGTTTTCAGATCTTCGTCGAACATTCTTTCGTGAGGTGTTACATTAGTAGCTGTACAAAGTAATGATCTAATCGAATGCAATGACTGATCCAATACCCTCTCCCATTGGCTTATATCATATTTTTTTTGTTTTTAAGGCCAATTGCATTGTCTTCCACAACGTGCCATTAAATCGTTCCACTTGCCCATTTCCTTGCGGGTTATACGATGTTGTTCGACTTGTAGCTATACCTTTACTTTGTAAAAAGATTTTTAAATCATGGGACATAAATGATGATCCTCTATCAGAATATATGTATGAGGGTATGCCGAATATAGAAAATAAGTTTGTCAAACACTTAATAATACTGAATATTCGTCTATAATAGTGAGTAGATACTGATTTTTTGAATTTGTAGGTAGGGGTCCTTTAAAATCTATGTTTAATCTTTCAAATACACTTGTAGCTTTTATTAATATTCCACGGCTGTTGCAAAATTTAGGTTTTACTTCTGCACAGATTTTACAGCCACGTGTCATTTGTCGTATATTATCAATGCTGTATGGTAAGTTTTTAGATCGCACCCAATGAAACATTCGAGTGACTCCAGGATGACAAAGCGATTCATTTAAAGAAAATAGTTTAGATGCTGTATGAACAGATGCACACATTCGAGATAGTGCATCCGCTGCAACATTTTCTTTCCCAGGTCGATATATAATGTCATATTTAAAACACGAGAGCTCCAGGCGCCACCTCATAATCTTGTCATTTTTAATTTTACTATTATGCTTGGTGTTAAACATGAATGATAGCGATTTTTGATCAGTTATTAAACGAAATTCTCGTCCTATTAGAAAATGCCTCCACTTACGGACAGATTCTACAATGGCATATGCTTCTTTGTCAATTGCAGAGTGTTTTCTTTCACACTCCGTGAGTGATCTTGAAAAGAACGCAACAGATCTCCCTTCCTGTGAAAGTGTCGCTCCAATTGCGAAATTTGATGCATCTGTTTCGACAGTGAATGGGATTTTGCTCTCAATGGCATGAACAGATGACTTAATTATTTCTTGTTTTAAACTTTCGAAAGCGTTTACTGTATCATTGTTCAATGGAAAATCATTGTTAATAATAATTCGAATCTTTTCGGAAAATTTCGGTATCCATTTAGAATAATGTGAAAACATTCCTACTGTCCTTCTTAACGAAGAAGCATCCGTTGGAATAGGCAAATTTTGTAGAGGTTTGATTCTTTCTAAATCTGGAGTGATCATTTCATTATTAATGTTATATCCAAGAATAGAAATACTTTTAATTGAAAATGTACATTTTTTCTCATTTATAGTAAGATTGTACTTTTTGACAGGAGACAAACTTCTCAAGATTATAGTCATGGTCTTCTTTATTCTTACCACATACGGTAACATCATCTAGATAGGCGAACGTAGATTGTAGATTTTCCGTTCGTATTATCCAGTCTATAGTTCTCTGAAAGCTACTTACACATTAGTAACTCCAAATGGGATTCTACAAAATTGATATAAATTTCCGACTGCTTCAAAAGCAGTTAATGGTTTTTCCGTATCAAGGATCGGAATTTGGTGATACGCGCTTTTTAAGTCAATCTTTGAGAATAATTCGTACTTAGCAATATCTTGTACAATTGTCTCTATATTTGGCAATGGGTAAGCGTCTAAGTAAGTATATTTGTTGATAGTTTGTGAATAATCAATGCAAAGACGCTTTTTATGATTATCATTTTCTATTACAAGAACTTGAGCTCTCCATGGAGATCTGCTTTCTTCAATAATACCATTTAATAATAATTCCTGAATTTCATTAGCAATGAATTTTAAATCATCTTTAGAAAAACGTCTAGATTTAGTGACTATAGGTTTACAGATCGACGATAAGTTAGGAAAAATTGATACTGGAGGAATCGTAGCTGCGGTTACTCCGCAAATTTCAATTTTTGCTCTTGGACCGCCAAAATTTAATTGAACTTTGCAATGTTGAGTTAATACATCATGACCAATAATAATATCCGCACATAGATGTTTTACAATAAGTAATTTCATATTTTTATAAATGTGATTTCCTATGCTTATTGACGTAATACACAGGCCTTCTACATACGATGTATAATTAGTCGTAGCCATTGTCACTTTCTCTGAACATTCTTCTTTTATTAGACAACAGCGATCAAAAAACGAAACTATTAATGTAGCTTCTAGAACTTCCTGAATCGATTAAAGCCTGAGCATTTACCCCCTTTATTTTTATAGTTACAATTGCTTTACCGAGGCATGCAGGTGATGCAGCTATGACAGAAGCTACAGCGTCCATGTCATCTATTTCCATTGCGGCATTTACAGATTTTTTTGAGTTACGACATGCTTTGGCCCAATGTCCCTTTTTATCACATATTTGACAAATCGCATTCCTTGCAGGGCAATTTGAACGCAAGTGTATATTTCCGCCACAAAAAAAAACATTTCTTTCGATTGTATAAAGTTTTCCGATAAGTCGACGAAAACTCATAATTTTTAACATGAGTTTGTGATTGTGAAACATTTATTGGATTGATCTGATATTCTTGAGCAGTAGACTTCGCTAGCTCCAATGATACTGCTTTGTTATATGCTTCATCTAAAGAAAGTGATAAATTTTCTAATAATCTCTGTCTGATATTATTACATGAAATACCAGAAATGAAGGCGTCTCTTATATACTCTTCTTTATATTTTTCAGCAGACACTGATGTAAATTCACATTCCATACTTTGTAGTTTTAATTTATGTATAAACTGTTGAATCGTTTCCCCGTTTTCTTGTTTTGAGGTGATAAGCTTGTGTCTTGCAAAAATTATATATTTTGGTTTGACGAATGCAAGCTCTAAATTATTGATCGCATCTTTGTAGCTAACACAATGACATATATTAATAAACTTTTGATGATAGATGATTAATCAGAAGTTGAAATCTTGCTTTTTCATCTTTAACATTATTTATAGCCAAAAAAATTTCAAAAGTTATATACCAATGTCTCCATTCTTGTGCCGCGGTAGCAAATGAAGAATCGGTTTCAAATTTCTCTGGTCATAAAAATCTCTCCATACTTCTTGAGAATTATTTTATTGAATTGTTGATTCTTTCTGCTTAATAAATTGATAAATAATACAAAACCTAGTTATTAGGTTTTATTAAGCAGAAAATATATACATACGTAAGAACAATTGTGTCAGTAATAAGGAACATCCAAAAGAATAATTTTAAAAACAATGTTTACATTTATGGCGAATGGCCAGTATTATATCATTATGTTTTCACATTATTCTAAATGGATACCGAAATTTTCCGAAAAGATTCGAATTATTATTAATAACAATGATTTTCCATTGAACAATGATACAGTAAACGCTTTCGAAAGTTTAAAACAAGAAATAATTAAGTCATCTGTTCATGCCATTGAGAGCAAAATCCCATTCACTGTCGAAACAGATGCATCAAATTTCGCAATTGGAGCGACACTTTCACAGGAAGGGAGATCTGTTGCGTTCTTTTCAAGATCACTCACGGAGTGTGAAAGAAAACACTCTGCAATTGACAAAGAAGCATATGCCATTGTAGAATCTGTCCGTAAGAGGAGGCATTTTCTAATAGGACGAGAATTTCGTTTAATAACTGATCAAAAATCGCTATCATTCATGTTTAACACCAAGCATAATAGTAAAATTAAAAATGACAAGATTATGAGGTGGCGCCTGGAGCTCTCGTGTTTTAAATATGACATTATATATCGACCTGGGAAAGAAAATGTTGCAGCGGATGCACTATCTCGAATGTGTGCATCTGTTCATACAGAATCTAAACTATTTTCTTTAAATGAATCGCTTTGTCATCCTGGAGTCACTCGAATGTTTCATTGGGTGCGATCTAAAAACTTACCATAAAGCATTGATAATATACGACAAATGACACGTGGCTGTAAAATCTGTGCAGAAGTAAAACCTAAATTTTGCAACAGCCGTGGAATATTAATAAAAGCTACAAGTGTATTTGAAAGATTAAACATAGATTTTAAAGGACCCCTACCTACAAATTCAAAAAATCAGTATCTACTCACTATTATAGACGAATATTCAGTATTATTAAGTGTTTGACAAACTTATTTTCTATATTCGGCATACCCTCATACATATATTCTGATAGAGGATCATCATTTATGTCCCATGATTTAAAAATCTTTTTACAAAGTAAAGGTATAGCTACAAGTCGAACAACATCGTATAACCCGCAAGGAAATGGGCAAGTGGAACGATTTAATGGCACGTTGTGGAAGACAATGCAATTGGCCTTAAAAACAAAAAAATATGATATAAGCCAATGGGAGAGGGTATTGGATCAGTCATTGCATTCGATTAGATCATTACTTTGTACAGCTACTAATGTAACACCTCACGAAAGAATGTTCGACGAAGATCTGAAAACGGTGCAACATTACCATCGTGGTTGATGGTGCCAGGGCCAGTGTTTATGAAAAAGCATAATCGTGCTTCAAAATATTCACCTGTAGTCGAGGAGGTAGAGCTATTACAATCAAATCCTGACTTTTCATATATCCGTTTACCTGACGGAAGGGAAGAGACGGTATCTAACAGACATCTAGCGCCTCTAGATTCATCGGAGTTTATCGAAAATACTATGGAAATTGAAGAAAATAATAATCAAATAGATCTGCCAAGTGGAAATATACGAGAAGATAATGAACAATGTAGAGAAGTAATGACAATGGAGCGACCGGTTAGAACTAAAAAGCGGCCAGAATATTTAAAAGATTATGTTACTTAAGCGGCCAGAATATTTAAAAGATTGTTATTTTTACTCGATAGGGTAAATGATATAATACTGGCCATTCGACATAAATGTAAACATTGTTTTTAAAATTATTCTTTTGTTTGTTCCTTATTACTGACACAATTGTTCTTACGTATGTATATATTTTCTGCTTAATAAAACCTAATAACTAGGTTTTGTATTATTCATCAATTGTTTCATATTTTTTTAACAAAATTCTGTTTAATCCCTTTATTCATTCTTACTAGGGAGTACGTTTGCATTTAAATCTGAATGTTGTCAACACTGTATACTATAGTGTAAAAATAAAAACATACTTTATTCTTATTGTCTATGATGTTGTTCTAATTTAATGATAAGACCAATGTTGTTCTAATTTAATAACTTCTGTGATTTGTTCAATCCACAGGCTAACTAGAGATGCTGGTCCAATTCCAATCTGTCTGGTGTCTGTCTCTGCTGTCTGTAGCAGTCTCCTTAACTCCTTAGCCTTAGCCTTAGAGTATAATATATGTTCTGTGGTCTGTAGTAGCGATGGGTCGTTGAAGGTATTTTCTTCAACTTAACGTTAACGTTGATTCATGTTCGTCAACTAGTTGTTCAACTAGTTAAATTCGTCAACTAGTTAACGTGACACACATAAGTATGTTAAATTGCAAGCCCTTTCTTCTACTAGGGAAAACGGATGAAAGCTATCTATGCATAAATCTAAAAAATCTGAATTATTTTTTTCTTTTGTTCGAAACTATCTAACTATATAAACTATATATAATATATTTTTATCAAAATCAACCACCAAACGCTGTTGTTTAAAGATTGGTACTAAAACTCTGACGAAAATATTTAAATATATTTCTGCTTCAAGTACTTTTTAAAGTTAGTATTCAATTTGTTCCATATTTTCTCCTTGCATACATTACAAACAGCTTTTCCGCTAGAACTGTCTTTTTAGGTATGAAGGCATAACTCACTGTTAATACGTTCAATTATTTTGAATTTTGTACCCACAGTCCTCTATACACTTAAATAATAATAAATTAAAATAAAAAAAAACACTAACCACAAAGTAAAATTCTGATAAACAAAACTAATAACATAAAATAAAATTCCAAATGTAATTAATTAAAAATTAACAAATTCACAAAAAAACAGTAAACATGAAGTAAAGTTCTGATAATATTTACGCAAAGCCGCAAAACATTATTAATTCAGAAACGACGCTAACGAATTTAACTAGTTGATTTCAATGACAGTTAAAGTTAACTCGTTAACAAGAGTTGATCTCTTAATAACGAATTAAATTTATGATAACGGTTACTCTTGTTAACAGTTGATTCAACTAGTTCGTTGATTCAACGCTCATCGCTAGTCTGTAGTTACGGATGTTTAAACGGCTGAATAAACTGTGTTCAATATCTCTCCGCTCAAGTCAAAATTTATAGTGGGAAAGTTATTTCATATTATTGATATGTAATTTTGTAATTGAAAAACGTGTGCTTACTATTTTATTTTATTTTGTTTAAAATGTTTTTGCTACTGTCGGCGTCTCATTGTAGGTTATAAACTGAGTACTATTCGTCATCAATTTTTGTTATGACAATTTTTTCTATCGTCGTAAAAACTGAATTATCAAGTGTTTTTGGCTTTTGAAATCTTCACGAAAGGAAGAAATTCTAAGAACAAAATGGGGCTGATTCTGTCAAAACTTCGCGTAAGTATTTCGTATTAGCTAACTAAGCTTTTAGACTAACGTAACCAAAACTATTTTGATAGTTCCTCCGCTTTATTATTATTTGGCCCGAATTCAAATTATCCCCGCTAACCGTAATAATTCAAGTATAAAGATTAGAAAGTTAACTCATGCTTACTTTCATGAAATTACCTTCACTTCACCCATGGTGACTTCACCCACTTCATATAAACTACGATAGAATTTTTTACGTTTAAAAATTACGGCAGCTCATATAATATGTCCTGAACTGTGGTAAATTATTTTAAAACATTTGGTTGTCTAAATTAATGATTATGTTTTAAAGACCCAATCCCAACAATCAAAACAAGCTTATTAACCTTAAGTACCTAAACGTTTTACACAATCTTTAGAGTATATCTAATGTACATGTATATATAAAATTTTTCTGAAGTGTATTACATAAATAAAATTTCCTTTATACTCAAATTACACCAATATTCATAAAGATATGAAGATTATTGAAAATGCATTCTGAATAGTTTAATGAAAGTTATAAACATCAACATATTTCTTGTTGCTCTTACGCAGTGACAAATGGAACTATTCATATGTTGATTGCAAAGAATAAATAATTATGTACATGTAAGTTGAGTTAATACAGGAAACTACATAAAACTTGTAAATAGCTCACTGAATGAACAATAAATGGTAAATGGAAATACATTAAATCTTCTTGAAGATTTTAATTCACAAGAAAAATAATTGTTTTACTTTTGATTAAGATGAAATGATCTGTCTGATATTTTTAAAGGATTACACTGCAATCTTGCTTTTTGCTTGTTTGTATTCATTATCTAGCTATTAACCTATTCTATTTGTAAAAGCTGCATAAACTTGTAAGGCTAGGAAAAATGTATTTTTCATTTATACAAATGTTTGTAATTTAAAATTTAATTGAAATTTAAAAACAGTAACAGTTTTTATTAAGTAAAGGACATTCTAAGGTATACCTGTTGGGCGTCAATTTTGTTGTCAGTTGTTTTCTGCTGTTAAACCAACAATATTTATAGTGTTATTTATGCTGGTATGACTGATGTGACATTTTAATGCATGACCTTTTTTCTTCTGGTTGAATGTTAAATGATCAGTTAAGATCTTGTAGTTAAAGTACAGCTTTACTTTTGATCATGTGAAATATTTCAATATAGAAACAGAACTCGGCAATCAGTGATGGAATATTAGAGCCCAAAAAAATAAATAAGTTTAAATCCAACCATTTCTTCCTTTTTTCATAGGCATATACAATTTACATTCATAGCCTTTACATGTCTACCACCTAAATCTGTAACAGGTAACTATAAACAATGTAGATAAAAGACGTTAAGATTTTCGTCGGTGTGGGAATCAGCCGTTTAGCTTAGTGGTTAAAGCGTCAGGCCGCGAATGCCGAAGACGTGGGTTCGATTCCCACAGCGGCGACAATATTTTCTTCATATTTTAATATAACTATAATTCATAATCCTTTCATGCTTGAATCGAACCTAACATCTTTGACGCCGAAGTCAAAAGTTTAGCAATTGCGCCAACAGCCATCAGGATATCGTTGTTTAGCGATTCTTTTCTTTGATTACGCCAATAAACGCAATATGTATTTGATGCGAGAATAGCTAAAAAAAAAGTAAAGCCTCTGTAATGTATACTGAGCTCTCAAACTCCTTACATTTCTAATTACAAAAATATCATAAATAAACTTTACGTTTCGGATCGGAACAAAAACTACACCATCAATTCCTCGTTAAAACGATTCACTGATGTCATAGATGCGTTAGGCGTGTCGTCAGAATTCGTTTGCACACTCAATACAAAAGGTTTATACGCATTCCGAAACGGATGGCCATACTTTGTTTATCAAACATTACACCGCAATGTACCAACATTAGTACGTAGTCGGAAGAATATTTATCACGAACAATTAGTAAAGCGTCAGAAGCATTCGTGCATTTCGCTTTTTTTTAATATTTATTTATTTCACCTCTATGTATCGAACTACAAAGATATAGCATCTGATTAATCGATAATACCTACGTATGCATTCATTTCATGCAATTTGACTCATTAATTGATATTATTTTTAGAACAATCGCTAGCTCATAGTGACAACAGACTACTTTTATCCCACCAATATAACAAACGAAAAACGCCTTCAGTTCTGTAGACTTTAATGCTTTTTTTTATTGTGACCTGTGCATTGCGCAGTAAAATATTTTTATCAGGTCTCTTTAAATGAAGCGGACATTTAAAAACTGGTTTAAGAACTTTCGATGACTTGAAGGCGTTTAGTACTCATACCAGAATCTGTTTATTAATAGCTGTCAGCGAAGCCACATTTTCGCTTCAATTGAAGAAATGACTAGCAAAAGTTGTCGTTTTGAAAACCAAAAAGAATTTATGCTTTTTTGTTTCTTCTTGAGGTAACTTAAATCTTCTAAGGCTAGGCAACGCTACTCCTATTTCTCCGGTGTGGATGCTCATAGAAGTCGGTAACCATTCAAAATCGGGTGAACCATCCCTTTGATCATGGAGTTATATGAGTATGTTTTACGTTTATCGCCTACCACTTGCTTCTTTACTATTTTACGTCCATCGCCAATGATACTTTATTACGTTACGTAATACGTTGATACGTTGCTATTACGCACGCGAATATTTGCTAAGCTCGCTGTCTAACACCTGAGATTATAAATTGCTTCAGTCCCATCCTTGTTCGTATGTATCAGTTCCATACGCCGCACAACGGGTAGACCTTACGGATGTTACGACTGGAAATTTGTTCCACTCCTGGCAAATAGATAAAATATAATTATTTAACTATTGACGCTGTCTTTGTTTAGCATTGACATGATTAAAAAATTGTACAACGAATACTACACGAGAAAACTCGACATCCGATTCAGTGATTTCAGCCAGAAATAATAATAATTTCTTTACGTTGCAATGGTATTGCAATTCCTAGCCGGTATTACTGTTGTAACTGATAATAACTACTATTAATAAACGAAGCCACGTTTGATTGACCTCGCCTCTGTAAAAATTACATGCAGGTAACACGTAAACGATGTGGCCGCATTAGGTAAGATTACACAAGCCACTGATTAAATACAATGCACGCAGGTTGAATAGGTAACCTGTCGAGTAATTCAATAATCTTTTACTACCATGGCCATGGTTGATTGACCTTTGCATGTTGACTTGTACTATATTCGGTTGGTACAGACAGTTTGATCGGGTCCAGACGAAATTTAACCAATGTGCCAACCAAGCAAATGTTCATTAATTACACGAGCTCAAAATGCGGTTGGGGATCCGAATTAAAATAATAATGTTTTTTATTTAGAAAATAAAAAAGGAGTAAAGTAGCGGCATATACATTTCCCACTTCTGAGCCAAAGTCTCCTCTGTAAAAAGGGCGAGATTAGTCCACCATTACGGATTGACGGAATTCACATATTTTCGAAATCTTTTTTTTCTTATTATTTAAAGAAATACGCAGGTTTCACGATGTTTTCCTTCTCGGCTGAGATCGTTATAAGTCATCGGCTTAAAATTAATAATTTCATTGGTGCTGTCACCGGGGATCGAACTCAGGTTGCTCGAGTAAATTGAATTAAAGGCCAACGCCCGCACACTGAGCTATCACGGCACTTTAATAAAAATGTATTTTGTTACTGGTTCGAGAACATGCAGGTTTTCTCACAATGTTTTTCTTTCACCACTGAGCTATGACGGCTCAATAAGAGAATATACATTACAAAAACTCCATACATATACATATATACAATATTAAATATTGTCGACACCCTTTTTATATTGAAGTTGTGATTTTCTTTTCTTTCTTTTTCTTTTTTTACTTTTTTCTTTTTAAAAATATGGCCCCCCTCACTTTAGAATAACATTATCCTGTGTTGTAAGGACGTTTTACAAACATAAATTTCACATGGATAAACATCCAGATGCGAAACATCGATCTTTAGGCCGCACAAATTGTTTCCCCGTGTGGGAATTGAACCCACGACCCCCGACGCCGAAGCCAATGCTTTGGCAACTGCGCCACGTCTTTCAGTCATTTTCTTTCTTTAACACTAAATTAATTGATGAATTAGATTCGTTACAGTGTAAAATGAACGTATTATATTTTATAGAAACACTAGCTGCTGCCCGCGACTACGTCTGCGTAGAGGGGTGAAAATTTAGGGTTGTATGTATTTTTGTATGCTGTGTCATAAAAAAATAGAAACAAAAAGTTTTATATAAAAAATAAAAAAAAATTTAGGGGTGGACTACCCCCTTAAAATTTAGGGGGACGAAAAATAGGTAGTAGCCGATTCTCAGACATTTGGTAAAAATCGGTCGAGCCGTTTCGGAGGAGTTCAAGTTCGAACCCCGTGACACGAGAATTTTATATATTAGATAAAATATTTTAAATAATGATTCTAACATACCTAGAATGATAAACATATTACAATAAATAAGAAATTCGAAGTTATTCTTTAACATTTTGGCGGTTTTTGCCTCTACCTAAACAGCGAAGCAAGAGATAACGATACATTGAAAAATGCCTTTAATATGTCCCAATAAATTCATTTTTCGGTGACGTTTTTAATAATTTTAAGTTTCTTAAAATCAATTTCTTTTTTATCTGTGAAGGTGGCTATTGAGCTGGCGATTCACCTTGTGCTAAGTGATTACCGTTTCCTATCGACATTTGCAACAAATATAAAAATGTGGGTTCCGCTTACCTTACTCATAAGACGAAACGCAAATATATATAATATGACGCCGGTCGTTTCTAAGGTTGTAAAACTTTGTTCTGTAAAAAACTTTGTTATGTTCTGTTAAACTTTTTTAAAGAAAATGTATTAATTACATGTATTACAATAATATATTGTATATATATATTTATAATACCTATTGTATAATGTATTAATAAATATTTTTCTTAGTTATAAAAATATTGTAAA